CATAGGCAGATAAATTCTGAAGCCTACTTGAGATAACGGCACATAGAAATTTAGTGTGCCATTTATATAATATATATATTCGCGAAACTATGGGTAAATTATATCAAAACTGCTTACTTAGTTTTTCTCTCTGACGTCAGGATTTTTTTAAAAGGACTTTGAAATTTAAAGAGTATGATTATTTCAAAAAATTATTTAAAAACTTCAGTGCAATGTAAGATAACAATATGGGTATCATATAAAAGAAAAAATTCTATAGAATTATAACAGAATAACTTTTTTGGTGCCTAAGGACGAAAGGGTATGGAAAATGTCCTTTACAAATTTTGTCCTTAAATATCCTTGAAAATTTGCAATATATTTGTATGATTTTCTACATTACATCGATTTTTTAAATCTGTTGTAACACAAAGCCGAGGGACCTACAGTTTTCCGCCGACTCCCAACAGCCGATTGTATTTTTATGAGAAGCTGTTTTTCATGGCAGAAATACACTTGGATGTTTGCCATTGCCTGCCAAGGGGCGACTGCTATTAAGAAAAAACTATTTTTCTGTTTTTTTTTTAGCGATGTTGCTTTGACCAGGGCTTGAACCCAGGCCCTGCGGAGTGATAGCGCGCACTGCTAACCACTACACCACAGCGGCCGCCTCCACACTACTTCAACTAAAAACCTAACTCCTTCTAAAAGTTGGGAAGTGCTTTAGGGGGTAGGAAATGCTTCTTACTGCGGCCCCACATTAAGCCTAGACTCCTTTCAGTTCTTCTGTGGATGGCATCACCATTTTCGTGTATGTGGTCGAGTCGCCAAAGTGAAAGTGATAATTCGCCAGAGATGCTGTTGCAGACTCCAGTGTCCTGTAAGCATATAGTAACCTCAGTTGCTGTTTTGGTGAGGCTGATTAAATGTTGAAATCAGGGACCGAAAATAACCGTTAAATACCAAGAATTTATTCAACAGTTCTATTGTGCTTGAGGCCGTTTTCAATGAAAACTGTTGCTTTTTGTTGCTTTTTCCAGTTGAAGAAGTCTGGTGATGAGATGTGGTGATCTCCGAAATAGCACCTATAACTTCTAACAAAAAGTAAATTGTTGGTTTTTCCGCAAAAATTTTTATTAAAAACGGCCTCAAGCTCAATAAAATTGTTGGATATAATTGTTATAAAACCATAAACCAAGACTCTATTTTGAGGTCATTGCAAATTCGCTATTTTGCGATTTTTTTAAAATCAAAAATAAGTGTTATTTTTGATTTTTATTTTTTCGATAACTTTTAAGTCTTTTATAATCTAAAAAATGAAATCTGAAAGTGACGGTTATAATATGATCGATTAAAAAATTATCAAAAAAATAAAAATCCAGATATAACAATTATTCTTGATCGCAAAAATAAAATTCATAACATAATGGTTAAATTTGATCGAGCTTTAGTATAAGAGATTATAACAGTTACGGTACCTGAAATCCCTTCATGTTATAGTAAACAAAAACAAAAAATCACTTTTATTTTATTTTCGGACCTTCAATCAAATCAATTAATTTTTATACGGCGACATGAATCNAAGGGGCGACTGCTATTAAGAAAAAACTATTTTTCTGTTTTTTTTTTAGCGATGTTGCTTTGACCAGGGCTTGAACCCAGGCCCTGCGGAGTGATAGCGCGCACTGCTAACCACTACACCACAGCGGCCGCCTCCACACTACTTCAACTAAAAACCTAACTCCTTCTAAAAGTTGGGAAGTGCTTTAGGGGGTAGGAAATGCTTCTTACTGCGGCCCCACATTAAGCCTAGACTCCTTTCAGTTCTTCTGTGGATGGCATCACCATTTTCGTGTATGTGGTCGAGTCGCCAAAGTGAAAGTGATAATTCGCCAGAGATGCTGTTGCAGACTCCAGTGTCCTGTAAGCATATAGTAACCTCAGTTGCTGTTTTGGTGAGGCTGATTAAATGTTGAAATCAGGGACCGAAAATAACCGTTAAATACCAAGAATTTATTCAACAGTTCTATTGTGCTTGAGGCCGTTTTCAATGAAAACTGTTGCTTTTTGTTGCTTTTTCCAGTTGAAGAAGTCTGGTGATGAGATGTGGTGATCTCCGAAATAGCACCTATAACTTCTAACAAAAAGTAAATTGTTGGTTTTTCCGCAAAAATTTTTATTAAAAACGGCCTCAAGCTCAATAAAATTGTTGGATATAATTGTTATAAAACCATAAACCAAGACTCTATTTTGAGGTCATTGCAAATTCGCTATTTTGCGATTTTTTTAAAATCAAAAATAAGTGTTATTTTTGATTTTTATTTTTTCGATAACTTTTAAATCTTTTATAATCTAAAAAATGAAATCTGAAAGTGACGGTTATAATATGATCGATTAAAAAATTATCAAAAAAATAAAAATCCAGATATAACAATTATTCTTGATCGCAAAAATAAAATTCATAACATAATGGTTAAATTTGATCGAGCTTTAGTATAAGAGATTATAACAGTTACGGTACCTGAAATCCCTTCATGTTATAGTAAACAAAAACAAAAAATCACTTTTATTTTATTTTCGGACCTTCAATCAAATCAATTAATTTTTATACGGCGACATGAATCATTTATAATTGGGTTATCGCTACTGAGCCCACTGGGCTGGAAGCAAACACCGGCATGTTAAGGTATTTACATCTCCTGCTTGAACAATTGCTTCTTCAAAAACTGAAATATATGTACATACAGAGCAAAGCACATTAAACAGGTGGTATCAGTAGAGCAGCTGATTTGATTTATTNGCAAAAAGTCTAAATTGTTAAATCCATTTGCATGTGAAACCTTTTTCCATACAAAACAAGCGATTGAATACCAACTTTTGGAACGTTCGCCCAACTCAGCACCAAATTGACAAAAAAACTGACTTAAAGCTTAAAAATTATTATTTCAAAAAAAAAATTTGAATTTAGATTAAACTTTCCAGAATTTNCCAAATTGACAAAAATGGACTTAAAGCTTAAAAATTATTATTTCAAAAAAAAAATTTGAATTTAGATTAAACTTTCCAGAATTTTTATAATTCCTGCTCAAACTAGGAAACTTTGTTTTCCACATTTGTTTAGAAACAAAAATAAATATTAAATAAACAACAGAAAAATAATCAAAACTTGCTAATATGTGGCGCCCCTATTTACTTTTCCACCACTATACATGCAGATATTTGAATTTGATCTCAGCAACAAAGCCTTTTGCTCATATACTATAGATTTGTAATATTTTTTGCAATATTTGTATCCTTTAGCATAAAAAAAAAAATTGAACCATTTGAACCAAACCGAACCGCACCGATTTTAAATAGTTGCATTTTACCATACCACCTACTATCCACATCTTCAACGAAACCTTCAGCACGCAATCAAGGTTGCTATTTGAGAGCTGTTCCTCAGGAAAGGTATTCGAACGTTTTTTCGTTTTTACCACCAATTTGGGTGAGGAAATTTTTGCAAAAACTTTTATCACCATTAGCTGCAAAAATGTTCAGACCAGGTGTGATCAACAAGAAGACAACAGCTCCAAACATAAGAGTCGTATGTGTGTGGGGTGGTGCAAAGTTAGGCACACTGCACTAAATTTTAAATGGATTTTTAAATTTCACTACTACGCATTTATTGATAGTGAAATCAAAAGTTGACTTCCACTAAGAACAAACAGGCTTTGTGGTATTGAAAATTGCAATTTGCCCAATTTGCCCGAATAGGGTGGAAAAATCAAGTTGGAGTTCAGGCATTTTGAATTGGTTTTCAAATTCGCCCGATTAAAGTCAGAAATAGTCAAGCATAAGCTCAAAGGAAAACAAGGTCTGGTCGACAAAACAGTACCAAGCCTAATTCATCTGAATTTGAGGCCTCGATTACCTCGAGAAAGTGCACAGAAATTAATGCTATGCGTAATTTATATAAAATCATGAAATGATTCTAAAAGTTATCGTAGACGCGTTTCTACTAATAGCCTGTATCTAGCTATAGATTTTGCCCACATTCATAAAAAAAGAATTGATTTACTTTTATAATAAATTTCGCTGTTTCTATCTAAAATTCTTAGTTTTTAACCGACTTCAAAAAGAAGAGGTTATCAATTTGACGGAATATTTTTTTTTTACATATGGCAAAGCATAACTTTGGACCAATTTAACCGATTTCTATAATTATTATTTTTTTTTTTTAAGGATAGGTGGCACCTCAGAGGTGGTTAGATCCGGTCGTTGGATCATGAAGAAATTAACGGTACTCTTAAATTTTTATTGAAGTGGATTTTGTTTTTTGCTTAAAAATTACTTGTTATTTTTTCTATTTTACTGGTTCGAAAAAAAATAGATAATAAAACCTTGCTAATATTAAGATAACGATGCAAACCCAAGCGCTTACTCGAATTTTCTTTACCCCAAGCATAAACAGTTAAGCCATTTTGATTAAGAAATACACTTTTGTCACTGCCGTACCTTAGCTGCATCAAAGCTTTCTATTTACATACAATGAAATTGTTTCTTCGGGGGAATCCGGGTTCGATTGCTCAGTCCACAAAAATTTCTGTATGAAACCGCTTTTGCCGCTGCTCTTCTTTCCATGGCAACGATTCTTTCGCCTTCCGCTACGAGCTCCATCAGAGTGAGAACCGAATGAGAAATCTTTTTTCCATGAATAAGTTGTAATAGTACGCTGTTGCATCAGAGTGAGGACCAAACGAAAAAGCACTGTCTTCATGAAATTGCTGTTGTTGTAAAGGTGCAACAAAAATCGCCACAATCTTTGGGCGAATGTTGGTGGAGCGATATACTGCCGTGACGACTTGCTTCTTCATGAACGCATTTGTGGTTTATTTGATTTGTTTCCATAATCGTTGAGAAGAACGTAGTTTTTGAAAACAGTGATTTTGTCAGACGCAGTTTAGCCACGCTTAAATAATTCTTCTGCTCCTTTTTTTATTTTATTGTTTTTGCTTTAGTTTGAATAAATTCAACGCCTCCAAGTAATGCAAACACTTTATTGTTAATTTTTATTTGATAAACATTCATATTTGTTAACTCTATGTATTTTGTGAATTGTTGTTGTAGTAGTAGGGGGAGGGTAGGTAGTCGAGGGTAGCGATAATTATCAAAAGAAAAAAATATATAAGGAAAGAATCAAATGTGAAATGTGAAAGGATTTGAATTTTTGGATGCTGTTGTGTGCGAATAGTTTCCTGTTTTACTCTCGATTTTCGTTAATTTCTTAAGGCGCACCTCCAAAGCATGCATATCCATATGCGTGCGTTTGATATTTTACGCATAGAAGTAGAAATATGTATATGCAGCTATTCTGCGTTTTATGCGATGTTACGCACGATCTATCAATCTTGTTAGCTACGCACATACAGTGGCGTTCAAAATAATAGCAGCAAAATTCAAAATGATGCTGTTGGCAACTTATCCTTATTTATTTATTGTTGATAATTTTCATTTAAAATATGGGTCGATCTATATTAGATACCAGCAGCATCATTTTGAATTTTGCTGCTAGTATTTTGAACGCCACTATATTTTCGACCGGTTTGTCAAAAGGACGCACAAGAATATCACTGCTAGGGGGAACCGCCTTAATTGTTGTCAGCTTGCAGGTCATTGCCACATTTCAAAATAACATAAAACCTATGTACAATTTCGATTAAAATTTGTATGTAGGATGATTTGTTATTGTAATGGTTATAGAATTTCAATGAAAAATGAAATTTACCACACTTCGGGTGCGCAAAAGTAAAGGCAACAAACAGAGTGTACTCTAAAAAATGTAGTAATTTGTTAACCTCTACCAGCAAATTGTATAAGTTGCGAGCTTTTAGCTCTAACTCAAGAGAAATTATGATAGTCGAAACAAGGCAGGGAATCTCCTTTTGGATTTTGGAAAACAGAAAAAATATGAGTATGCTTTGCTCTGCCAACATTAATCGCTGGTAGAGTTACGTTGCGCTCATATCGAATATCGTAATTTAAACATAATATAGCACTAAAGTTAAACATAATTAGTACATTAGAACAGTAAAAATATGTTTTAGTACTTAAATGTACATACATGTGGTTGTATATCGTATGCTAGCTAATGAAGTTGTGCAGTTGTAATTAAATTATGTTTCTATAAGTAGCGTTTAGCCAGTTTGACTGGACGTAAGCGCGCATGCGTTCAATGTTGCAGAGCTCTCTTATAATTGTCGCCTACTACAGTCCTAAGCCACCCATTTTCTCTTTTTTGATTCGAACACTTTGCTTTCAGTACAAAGCAATTTAGCGCGCACTATTCGCCCAGTCAATCTCGCATGGATTTTCATCATATATATGTAACATAATTTATGTACCATACTTAAACTAAATATTACCAGCTATTTGAAATTTTTAAAGTTCTTTAGTTTCCAATCTTCATATAACATTCTGTAAGAATGTAAGAAAAAAATATAGCTTTCTGCTCATCTCTTTACATTTTAAATATTTCATTTGTAAGTGTTACATTAAAATTATAACCACGCTTGATTACCGCGAAATTTACCACGAAAACCGCCTCGCATTCCACCACCTCTGCCACCGCCGCCACGATTGTAGTAGGGGCTGCCGCCATGACCGCCGCCACGTGGGGGACGTGGAAATCGTTCGTTACGAAAATGATTTTGTTGCGGTGAATTGCCCCAACCAGGACCGCCACCTCCTCCACCACGACCGCCACGATAGTTAGCATTCATAGGGAAATTACCAAAGGGCAAGGGGAAGGGTGGGCGCGGAGGCGGCGGCACATTACCGCCACCACGGCCATGGCCACCATTATGCCAAGGCGCTTGATTCCACATTTCTTGCTGTTGCTGGTGCTCTTGCATTTCCATATTGATGCCTATATTTTGTGGCTCATAAGTTGGCATGTTGATTTGATCTAACTGGTTGCTGTCCCAGACCGGTTGTGGCACATATTCGGGCGGTGTTTCCAACAATGCTGGCCTCACACTAACGGCACTAAGCTGCTCTTCTTCATTTAGATCCTTGGATGTATCGAGTAGTGATGCATCACCACTGCCTATCGATTGCTGTGAACTATCCAGCTGGTCGCTTGTTTGCTCATTCACCTCTAAAGGAGGCGATCAGTCAGGAAAGCGGCATTGAGAAAAGGCAAACAAAAAATTATGAATGTAATAAAAAATATTGAAACTATGCAGTTTTTAGAAAGCAAACCTCTCAAAATTTCATCAAGATCCTCATCGGACATGTCCATATCGATAACCATATCGGAGGGATCATAGCGCGCACTACCAGAATCTTCTTTGTCCGATGACGAGCCTAAAATATATGGAGCAGATGAGGAGTTTGGGGATCATTAAATGATTTACTTCTCGTTAAGGAATTCATATTTATACGTACTGGCATTGTTTTTTTGCGGAGAATTCGTCTTCTTCTGAAAGCTAGGAGGCGGCGGCGCCATCAACTGCAAATTAAAGTTAATTATTTCGACTTAAATGTGCGGATGGAACTTATAAGAGTAGAGGTCTTTATTGGCAATATATAAAAAGAAAAAAATATGTGTAGTCTGGAACTTACGCCAGGTGGTTCCGCATCTGATGAATCTAAAGCAGGTACCGGCATTGGCAGCGCACGGTAATCCACATCGCCTGTTGTATTGTCAAGAAAACTCTAAAATGCAGTAAAGAAAGGAAATAGTAAAAAAGCATTTGCTTGATTTAATTTACGAAGTAAAACTGCTCTCGATAAATTTTTTGCTCATTTCTAACGTTCTGATTTAAAAGAATACGCTAAAGCAAAAAGCTTGACTTACCGCATCCTGTGAGAGCCATGATTTTTTGTCACCATCACTTCCACCCGGCGAACCGGTCAACGAAATCAAATTTCTATGATCGATATCCAATTGACGTGTTTTATCTGTAAACAAACAAAAATTACTATTAAAAGAGGAGCAGCTGTCATAAGAGTTGTGGCTACACCACCAACCCCGAAACCGGATTGATATCGGGATTAGCATTTTCATATTAAACAAGTTTTACGCTGTTACAACAATTATATAAAATTAAATAACAACAATCTTGCAATTTGAAGGAAAAATAATAACCCAATACCACCACCAACCTTTACTCAGCCCCAATTTAACACCTAAATCCACAGCGGGCAGATCGAATGCTGGCAAATGCAATGTACGATGATCAACATCTTGTTGTGATATCAAAACATTGCTTGTATGATGCTCATTATATTCTATAGTCGCGGCAATGCTGCTACTAGCCTCACGCTCAAAGTGTGGCGGTGAAACGGGTGTATCTATGCTTTCAGGCGTGTAAGATGAGTTAGATAAATTGGAATTATCCATTGATGTCCACGACATATTCATATTCCATGTGGAATTAAAATCATCATTGCCATTATTAGGTCCACGCGGCGCTCCACCCATGCCACTTCGTCCACTAATGTTATCCAATGGATTAATATTTGGCATTGGCGGAGGTGGCATTATGGGTTGCGGCCCGGCACTCGGATTGGCGACACCAACACCGCCACCATTGCCACCACCATTGTAACCGCTGTCGGGTGTATAACTGGGATTATACTCATGATTTAAGCCATTGTTTCCACCAAATAGTGTTGATGTAGGTGGTGGTAATAAACCGCCATATTGCTGCGCTGAGCGTGCAAGTGAGGAGTAACCCGATTCTACAGGCGGCACTGGCAGGGGATTCAGACCAGGTATGGAAATGTTGCTGCCACTTGAATATGGGGTTAATGGCTCAGGTTTGTAATACTCCGTGCCGGAGCTGTAGCTTTCATCGTCCGAACGTGAACCTATTACTTCAATCGGCTGACCTATGTAAATTTAAAGAAACTTTTATATGAAATAACTTTGTGAGTTTACGTTTTCACTTACTTGATTTATTGGAAGTGTTATCATCACGCTTAAAATCATTTATGTCAAATGGTAATTTACCATCCAAATAACTTGAGTACCCATTTATTGAATTTTTAAATAGATTCTGTAAGGATATGTTTAAAAAATTAATATACAAATAGTGATACCAGAACGATTAACTTACCATTGAGATCGGTGATTGGTCATCAGGCAGAGGCAGATCTGCATCTGGTTCCGGAGACGGTGCATTTATGTCGGGCGATGGTATGGGACTAGGCAAGTTTGGTGTGATTTCATCCAATTTCTTCTTGACAAGCTTTATGCGACTGCCGAAATTTTTGTAGGCCTAAAATGATATCAATGAAAGCAGAATATGACAAGCCTGGCCAACAGAGGGAGAGAGATTGATAAATATTTTGCGCTCAGTTCAGTATTGGCTATTTTCGATATTTGTCGTCCTCAGACTAAGATGCATTTAAAAAAATATATCCACTTACACTAACTACCACCTTTACTTCGCCTCGTTGATTTGCATAGAATTTAATGGCTGTGTCAATGTTACTTAAGACAGCTTTGCGTGTACGAATTTCTGCTTGCAAATGCTTACTATATGCCTCAGCGTATGTGGTATAACGTTCGATTTCCTTTTCAATGTCATCTGAATGGCTTTTATCCTTTATTTGTTGCTTTATGACCTCGATATCACAATTAGGCGCCTTAGGCAGTTTTTTAAAACTGTTATCAGTCGCCAAAGACAGCTCGACACATTCACGTATGTTAGCAATGAATGGACCATTCTAGTAAGTAAAATTGAGCAAGATATAGAAATTTGATGCAGATATGGTAAATTTTTTTTTTTTTGCTACTGCAACACGAACCGTATAGTCATCTGCTGAATCAGATACAACTGCTTGTGATTTCTTTGGTGGATTTATATTGAGCAAGCCAGATAAATCGCTTATATATTCCTCACTGTAAATGTCGCGCTGTTCCCAAATGCCGAAAATACGCAAAATCTTGCCTTTTACCTTTTCATCTCTGGAATGAAAGTGATGAATTAAGTTTAAAATTCATTAAGGTAGAAATGTGCGTGCATATACTTACCTCACCATAGTTGTCGCTCGTTGTAGCGCTGTGGCCCAACTTTCCACAAATTCATAGCGTTTCCTTTTGCTATTTTGTATGACATCGTTTGCCAAATAGAATAGAGTTAGTCTGTGTTCCACGCGTACTTTATTCATAAAAGATATAAATACGTATTTTAGGATTGTAATAATAGAATTCATGAATGCATAATAAAAATAGAACTTGTCGAGTAGTTCCATGTCAACTTAGGAAATAGACTTTAAGACACTACTAGCTCAAAAATGATTTGGGTTTGTTGTTGTTGTTGTTGTAGCAGCATACAAATTCCCCAAAAACTTTTTGCGGAGTGTTGCTGGAGTGACAGTCCTTGGCCAGATATATATTTGGGTCGACTGGGGACTGTCGTGGGAACGTGAATTTGGGTTTCGCGTCCTACGCTGTCACTATACTGTCAATTGCATTTAGATTGCTATTGACTTACATGATACCCATCCATCTCTGTTTTGGAACAATCAGGCTATTCGTGTAGCTATTTTATTAAAATATAATAATGTTCATAATACCTCTTTTGAATACATTCAACCAACAGGTTACAATCTTCTTATGATGTGGACGCTGTTGTAGACACCATGCCGACAACTGTTGTATGCCCTCTTGTGTATCTTTGAGCGCCTCCAAGCGTGTCTCGAAAAATTCTTCATCAAATGTGTCAGCACTCATTTCTTTAGCTCATTTGTTTGCTATAGCGATATGCAAAAAACTTTTCAGTTGCCACTGCGTTTAGCACACGCGTTTATAAACAAAACAATAAATAAAAAATCGAATCTCTTATAGCACTTTACGCGCGTTTTCCTCGTTACTCCCCGTGAGTAGCAAGCAATTCACTTATTTTTTCTTTTTGTTGACATTTTCTTGTTGATAGTTGTGCATTTGCGAACGATGTAACAGTGAGAATTTCAACGCTCCACCAGGAGCAGGCACGACCCGACAACCCTTTATCGTATTTTCACTTGCCTTGCAGCACCCTTTCACTCTTTACTTCACCACAACTGATATATATTTTTCTATCCACATTCACGACGCGTTTTTCACGCTTAAATTTTAACAATTTCCAGCACCCGCGGCCACTTCAATTTGTTGCAAAACCAAACTATTTTTGTTGGGAAAACTTTTTCACCAATTTTTATTTATAAAATTGCACTTTAAACGTGAGAAAATAGAAGGAAAATATTTTGCACAATCCACAAAACTAGAAAAATTGTAGCGCCATGTTTCCTGTGTGCCTTTTGACAGCCGGAGAACAAAACTAGCAAGGTTGCATTTGATATTATTGTGCAATCTTTTCGCACAGTGTAGTTGGTGGAGACTTGCGAAATGCCAATAATATTGAAGAGACATTTTAGTTTGTAGATTTTCAGTATAAACCGGAAATGCGGACTGTTAAAAGGGACATAGAAAATTATCAGTTTTGAAAAGAGTTAAGTTTATTAAAAAAGAATCAATGCGCTGGTAAAATAATAAATATTAAAAGTATAAATTATTACGCAAGCTGTCATCGTAGATATATATGTACATACATACATACTTCGCTGATTGATTATCTCCCGCCATTTTTTGACATTTCCTTTAGTGATATGAAACTTCCGTTCCTTTGTGCGCATTTAGTGAATTTTGCATAGTATAAAACACTTTTATTTAAATGTTATAAGTAAATAGTTGTAGAATATGTTGAAAAAAGGTGTGTGTTTGCGCTAATTGCAACAGTGAAGTGTTTCTGTATTTGTCTTCTTTTTCGTATCGTTGCTTGTTGATATTCTAACGTGTCGTCGCGTTCGTCTATAAATTATAATCATTTATTTTGCTTACGTAAAGAAAACCTAATCGATTTATGAATTCATCCTTTTCTACAACTGTGTGTACCCTATCAAAAGCATTGAGTTGCCATGCAAGTGCTTAATTTGTGTTGATTCCACATCTCCAGCAACTTCCGCCCTCAAATTATTTCTTGGAATCGCAGTCATGGATAACGGATCTGTTCCGTTGTAAGTGTAAGCTGCTTGCGCATCGTTTGCAAATGTATGTTTCGATAAAGGTGGTTATATCGTAGCTGAGGTAAGGTTACATATATGCTCTAGGAATCGATGATTTACGAAAATAGCGTATCTACTATTTTTCTAACAAAATTCGATCGATTGCCTACTACAGCATACTTATTTTTTTAAGTGAATAAATATTCGAGCGGCAGCGAACATAATAACGTTATAAATCAAAGAAAAACATCAAAAAATATATATATAAATAGTCCGGGCGATCTCCGGATAGCCAAAAACCAAAAAATTACTCTTTTAAAGCGGCTCTCAACAGCCCGAGAATCAAGCAAAGAAACACAAAATGGATAGTTTCGTACAGTTTCGGACACCGGTGGACTAGCCAAAAAAGAACCTTTTATGTGCAGAAAAGAAATCTAAATACCATATTATTTATTAATAGCCAATGGGCCTTATAAATAAAAATGAAGCAATTGCTTTTTCTTAAAATTTCAGACCTTTTAATTAAATTTTTTTGAATAAATAGAGTAATAGGTCTGAAATTTAAAGAAAAAGTATTTGTAGTTTTTATTCATAAGGCACAATAACTCACTTTCGCACTAAGTAAATACATATAATTTTTTTCAATAAAGTTTGCTATTATAATTTTTTATAGATTGCATTTATGTACAGATGTATGTACATATCTGCTCCAACTAGTTATAGTCTCGCAATCGTTTACACTTTTTTCCCTATTCCCAAGGAAAACCCAGAAAATAGATTTGGCATTCAACAGATTTAAGCCGCTCTGCCGCAATGACTGTCCTTTGGCTCCCCGTGCGGATTCATTGCCATTCTAATCAAAGCAATGAAATAAGTACTTGTATTCTTAAATAAATCTATACAGGTCAAAATTAAGCCCAACTATGTTCTACTAAATTATAAATTATTGTATATTAAAGTACTCTAATACATATATATATTCTTTCCCTTGCTGTGCATCCCCTCCATCGTTTACTCCAGCAAGGTGCTCAAAAAACGTTATTCTTAAATTTTTCAAATTTTTCTTATGATGTTTATAACGGACCAATCGCCTTTTTACTAAGCCATTTTCGATGAAAGACTGCAATGGCGAATTTTGGTTGGGTATGTGCCCATTGGTACACCTATTTGAAATCTAGTTCCAAATAAATTAAATTCAGTAATTCCCATCTTCAAGTTTGGATCGAACGGAGGAGCTATAACTTTCATTGGCTTAGTCTTTACTTACTTACTACTCAACTTGGGTATTATTGTGTCTGTAAATTCCCCAACGGGATCATTTATGAATGGTTTAAAGTACTAAGGCGGCCCCTGAAACCTTCACTTAGCATGCTGTTTAGGTTCGGAAGTCTCATCGCACTCCAACAAGCCGTTTTCCAATGGGTATGACCACACAGACCAAACTGTGGAGCAGATTCTGCATATGAGATAATCGCTTCCACCCCAGTCCACCCGTTGATCGTCTGTATTGTTTACAGCACAGGAAGCTTCAGGTATATTGGAGGTATCGGTGTTAGCCTGAGTCCTGATTCTTGGCAGAAAATAGATGCACAGCTAGAGTAAGCTAAGTTTAGGGACCTCTATAAAACTTGTTGAGAACCCTTCACCTGCATACACGCAAATCTACATTTTGGGCACTTCAGCTGAGTTAGTTACCTTAATTGCTGCACCTTGAAAGTGTTGTAAATTGAGTGACACCACTCCGTTGCCTCATCGTCAGTCGACGCCTTTCTATCTCGGAAAGAAAGTATAGTCGCTAAATTTGATATCAGTGTCTAACTATCTGCAATATGGCCACCTATATCGCTTGCAGTTGCTAGAGAGCTCATAGCAATGCCATCATCTCACAACCATTTTCAGCGGTCGCCCTATTTGCTGACGTCCTCGTAACCTCAGCTCAGGTCGCCTTTGTGCCATGTAAGACATTTTTGTTGGCTGGTTCTGCCATCTTTTTGGAGAGAACCGTGTTCCCCAAACGATTTCTCTTTTTACAGACCCCCAGTGAAGCAAGTTCCAGCTTGTTCTTGGCCATGGATAGTGTAGCTAACTTCTTCGATTCTCTGACACCTTCCGTTTCTTTTCGTGAAAAAACTTTAAAGGTAGAGTGAATTGAGAGCTCAAAGTGACAGTTATATAGAAAGATAGATGCTCATAAAAGGTACGCAGTGCGACCTAATGGATCTATTGTGCCTTTAACTCATCACAACTCTTCATTTATTCACAAAATCTGCAGAATGTTTAGAAGAGCTCTTGGAGATTTGACTTCAGTGATAATCCTCACCTTAAATCCACAGGCAGTTTAATATGCCTGCCCCAATGAATTCCCAGGTTTGGGAGTTACTCCAAGCCATTTCGAGATCGGGAATTACCCTTTTGTGCTGGTCGTATTTTCATGGCTTAAATTCATCTCAGGATATTTAGGCTACACACCCAAGAATTGCATGCTAGACGCTTGCACACTATTAGTGCCCTCGCAGCTTTTGTTGGGGTTGCATCAACATGAGACTTCCACAGATGTTTAGACTGCAGGATTATGTTCTTCATGCCTGAAACATTTCTTCTTCGGGTAAAAGGTACGATGGTCATCTCAGATGTCAGACACATACCAACAATTTCCAACAATTGTTTTTACCTCCAGAATGTGCAATGTGAATGGATGTACGCAATGCTTAAGAATCACTTACTAAGATTGAAAAGATAAACACTATTTCAGTTTGAGATTAATTTTATTTAAGCTATGGCTTCAATAGAGCATGCTGAATAAATTTAATTAAAATTTGCTTCTTAATTTAATGCAACAAACATTTGCAAATGTATTTATTTGGCTTATTATGCAGTAATTGCTTTAGCTCTTCGTAATCTCCATCTCAATGTGGAAACAAGATTTACCCTTTAAATAAGAGAGAGAATATTGCTACAAACGTGGCAAAAAGAAATAAAATAAAATACAAAAACAAAAACCTACTGTATCATGAGTTATCTCCGAATCCATAATTAGATTGCCCTTGGCCATACCCAACATGGCCTTGTATTTCGACAAGTCAACGCGGTGATCGTTTGCGCAGATTTTCTCCTAGCGAAATGAGAGTATTGTGGTATGCAATATTTTACAGTACATTCTTTATCTTAAAGCTTTGAACAGACGGCAGCGTTGATCGGGATTAACTGGGACTTAATCCGGATCAACTGCAGTTAATTCCCGAGTTGATCCGGATCAACGCTGCCGTCTGTTTAAGCTCTTAGATGATAAGTATAAACTTGTCTAAGCGCTTACCTCTGGCACTGGGCAACTAGCTGGGGCGCCGAAGAGCTTCAGCATATCCTTTGCTTCGTTCGGCACATGTTCGGCGGCAGCACACAAGTCGAATTTTCCCTCTTTCAGCACAATGCCATCCTTTTGCAATTTAAACTGCGACACGGCGGTATTGAAGGCCTTATTCATGACGCAACCTGACGGCACAATTTCGCATTTCTTATTGAGTTTGACTGAAAAATCGTCATCTAGCGTAATGATCGCGTCCGCTCCTGCGCAATTTTCCGCTTTTATCATACGCGCCTTGTAGCCGTTCTGTTCGAATGTTTCGAATTGAATCAAATGATGTTTTAAAGGTTAAATATTGCACTTACGCAAGCCAAGGAAATTTCCATAGCAACGGCTAGGATTGTCAGAAATAGAGGACACTTTGCTACAGCCATATTAATAGTAGCTACAATTTTCCACTTTCCGGTCAATATTTAATGCAGAATGCTAAATAGTAGAGAATTAAATTCGTCAAGCGTGCAGCAATATTTATACGCTGTGGTAGAAGTGTAGATTTTTGAATAGCTTTTACTCGGCAACAAATCACTAGTAATTATTTTGAAATTATACGACACTTTTAAGTATTGCAATCGCTGATCGTTCGGGTCAATTGCGCATGCTGATATGAATGGGAAACGTTGGCGTACTCATTAAGCGCACTTTTGAAACTTTGTTTTTTTTTTGTTACTTTTCGTAAAATTTTTCAGTAGTTATTAAATATGGAAATTTAAATATTACACATTGAACTATTAAAAGCGGAATAAATATATAAATATGAACAGCATGACATTCCAACTGATCGATCGTGTCGATAGTATACCATTTTGCTACTAAATTGCCAACACGCAAACGACTTTTAGATTACCGTTACATAGATAGCATAGAATAGCTCGTTGCTAAACCAGGTTTGCAT